CGCATTCAGGCGAGGTGCGCAGTTAATTCGATAGGGTTGTAGGTAATAAACTTACAGCAATTTGCAGACCAGAGCTAAACCCGTTGTCGTCGTAGAGAACGCAGACGACGACGTCGTTCTGGGAGGGACAGAACATCACCAGGCTGGACAGAGGACCGGCGGGGCGGGGGGTCTCCAACCAGCGGGCGCTCATGGCCTCAGACACGGTCTGAGGGAGAGGGATGAAGAAGGCGCTGCCGGCTCCGACTGAACTGGTGTCGAAGCGCACTGTAAGGTAAAGTAATATGGTCAATTTCCAGGGGGCTCAGACAATAAAGTACCATTTGTGACAGTTTTAATTTTGTCAAAGAGACTCTCTCCCTCCCTTAGGCTGGTTTGCACCATCTTAGGTACTTTGACAAAGGTAATAAAACTGTCAAACTCCAAACAAACAACACCGGTTATCGTTAAAGTTGCGGTCAAGGTTAGATGGTGCAACTCAGCCTTAAAGTTTAGGGGTAACTTCGCTCTGGTGTTTTTTTTATATTTCGCTCAAATCTCACGTACCTATGTTATTTTGCTAAGATCGTTGAGTAAGACCGCGGAATCGAACTTAGGGTTTTGCGTAAAATGTAATTACTGGGTACTTAAGGTAAACGGCTACTAGTTCGTGATAGTACGTAAGTTCGTAAGTTTTTTTTCTAGCTCAAATAATAAGCAAATGGAATATTATTTATAAAAATTCTTTNCTTACCACTTAAACCTGGCTTCCAGTGCCCTGAAAATTGAAATAAAATAAAGTTAGACCACAGAAAGTCAATTATTGTTTCAAAGGTCGTAAGTGCTAACTAGATAGGTAATTTCGCAATAAAATCAATAAATACAGGCTCATTGGATAAACATAACAACTGTAATAGGTAAGACAGCTGTTTGATATTTTTCCTGAAATAACTGAATTACCATATTAGGTAGCAGGAAGACGCTGGATACAGGCCGCTACTAACCGGTCTTTGTGGAAATCATTGGGGGAGGCCTATACGATGATGATAAAGAACTGAATTACCAACCTAACATGACCTTTGAGTTACGATGCAAAAATTGACCAATGTCCACTTACCCGCGGCACTCGCGACGGCAAAGCATATCGCCAAAAAAACTAGTTGCTTCATGCTGAGGGCTTCTTTTACTAAGCCGGATATAGAAGATGTACCTTCTTTTATATTTTTGAGACTCCTTTATCATAAAACGTGAGATAAGGTAAGTGCCCCCTACTTCGGTATATTAAGGCTCTTACGACTTCAACATTTTATTTAAAAATAACCAAGCATGATATCAGTATGAAAGCTTTTGTATGCTAAACTTTGGTATTTTGACAGTAAGTTAATACATAATTTATAGTTATATAGTTTGAACTTTTTTTTATATTAATTGTTCTGCGGANGACTGGAACGGATTTGGCATAAATATCAATCAATATTATCATAAATAAAATACTAAGGCAGAGTTGCACCATTTTACTTTAACTTTAAGAAACGTCAAAAATCTGTCAAACTCCATACAAAAAGCACCGGTTAGTGTTATTGTAACGGTTAAAATAAGGTGGTGCAACTCGGCTTAAGACTTTAGTATTCTATTTCAGTGTAATATTACAATTAATTAATATCAACATGAATGATTAAAAGGTACTTCTCATTTACACTCAAATTTGATGGTCACACGATAATAGTTCATAAACGGTATAAGTTAGAACAATAACTTTGAAATCAGGTGATAACATATCTATTTAGCTACATACAAAATAAATTTTATCGTAATAGAAGCAAAAATAATACGAAAACATCACATGAAACGATACAAAACGGGGTCATTTTTCGCGTTCTCATCGTGTCACACCTTCGGTTGCAATGAAACATTTGGTTACTGCATTCACAATTTTCATTCAAATTGTGTGTAGCATATACTAAAATCATCGTAATTAAATATACTTTCCACACAATAGTCAAAAAAATATCTTCTTATAATTATTTCGAATTGAGGAAGGAAAATACGTTGGTCACACGATTTTAGGTACCTAAAATTTTGAGTAATCATACAAGATTGCCGTTAAACCGAACACCATCAACCAATCACTGTGTTCTATTCGGTTAGCGTCAGTCGCGCTCCTGGCATTGCGGAGGTGAGATAAGTCGATCGTCGCTCCGCGAAAAAAATACGTAACTTTTTGTGATTATCCATAGACATTCCGTCGCTTGCTTGATCAATATTTTCTACCACTAAAATTTAAACAATTTAATTGAAACTTAGGCCATTGAAAACTTAACATGTTAGACTTATTTGTGTAGTATTCGACTTGAACCGTTAAACTCAAATTTAGGGATAATGGATAAAAAACTAAAATTTTCGTCACCTTCGTGGCATCACCTTCGTGGTGTTTTATACACGAAGGTGATTTTAGGCCACGAAAGTGATTTCTTGCTTTGGTTTATTTTAAAATAAAATGACTGGTGTTTAAGTTTTTACAATATTTTAATAACGAATAAATTATACGTGTTAAGTAGAGTTCAGTACATCAATAAAAAAATAAGGGCCTCGTATTTTTTTGTCTGACTATATGTATGTCTGTATATGTGACTGTGTATCTGTTTGTAAGATAAATTTAATCTGAAGTTTGAGTTAAAAGTTGTACAACAAAAATACGGGGCCATCTGGCCTCAATAAATAAACATATTTTTTGTTGAGGGACAGATAAGTTAAGAGTTCTTTTTTATTGATGTACTGATAATCCATGTTTTTGCTTCTTTAGCATTTCAGAATGCCACCAGTATCACCCTTAAAACCAATTGCGTAAAATCTTGTAACTTAGTAGGTAACGTTATCGGTAAAATTTTATATTGTATTTAAGTACCTACCTATTTATATTATGTTATTGCCATTTATCTATGAAAATAAGGCAAAATATATGTTTTATAAATACTTAAGAGTCATTTACAGTAGTAAAGTTTGAAAAAATTATTGCTGTGAAGTACAGAATCACTTTCGTGGCATCAAAAAATTCAAAACGTTAAAGCTTCCAAACCAGACTCACTATTTGACTGATTTACTGAGAATACACTCTTCACAACAAGCGCTACAATTTTTGTTTACAAAAATTGAAAAAAGTTAAAAATAAAATTTGCCACGAAGGTGACGATGAGAACCGTGGCGATGAGAAATACCCTAAAAGATTGTACCTTTATGCATGACTGCTACGATAAAATAAAATAAAAAATTCTGTATTTCTGTTTTCTAATTGTTTTTACCCGACTGCGCTAGAAGGAGAGTTATTTAATAAACTATAAACAATATTAATAACTAAAGTTTCATCAAAATCAGTTCAGTTGTTTTTGCATGAAAGAGTAACAAACTAAACTACATCCACACAAACTTTCGCATTTATAATAAGTAGGATTTTTAACCGACTTCAAAAAAGGAGGAGGTTATATGTTCGACTGTATGTATGTTTTTCAATAACAACTTATTTTGCTTAGGTGAAAAATATGAATTTTTATTTCATTATGGCAGGCAATTTGATTAGCATATTGATTGTTGAATGGAAACGGTTGATTGATTTTTATCGTAATTCTAATTAATCATAATATTGTTATTAATCTAGAATAATAATTAGGAATGTTATCAAAATAATTAGCCATACTCGTACGATTGATTAGTTAAGGTATCATAATTTCCAGATAACGTTACCTAAGCTAGGTGGCCATGCGAACAAACTATGTATTTTCATTGGAGTCATTTTTGTGATTTTAAATCGCAATATTTTTTGTTAGCAATCCTAAATTATCTGACAAAAACTTGTAAATTAGTTAAGATTAGATCACCACGTGGGGCAAATGTAGAGCGGTGGCAGTACTTTACATGGGTCATGAAAGTTATCGTTTGTTGTTCACCATTGACTATACCATAATATAAGCTTTTATTTTAGGTGGTAAAAATGCATTGAGTTGCATACCCGCCGCTGTGGTAAGGCGACGGATTATGTGGGGCTCTCCCCTCCAGAAGGGAGGGGTCTACCCTCTAAAAATCCACCAATCTCCGTCTTATTGAGCAGAGGCAGGAGCCGGTGTAGCTGAGCCTTATCCCGACTTATCTAACCAACCCTGGTATATGGTCAACAATTCACTTTATACATTCGATTTCGAACGATTTTCAACTGGAAGCATCACTTATACATTAGGGGTGCCGTTAACTAAACGATTTGTTTACCATACCACCAGGATACCACTGTATGCGGGAGAGTTAAAAAACATTTTACCATAAGATTTGCATCTCCAATTAAAAGAAACCAAACTAATAACTTTACTTAACATGAAAGTTGTTCAATGTATTCTGTGACGAAAGTTTGTAATGTAGTTACTACCTACTTACTGTCTATCTTATCAGAAATTAAAGGTACAAGGTACAATCAAATATTACAATCATCAAAAATATAATCATAAACCTTAATTTTATTATTTGTATTATATTATTATTGTATTATTTGCCTTATCAGCTATTCCAGATAAGATTTTTTTAAAGATTCAGTTTCCTGAAATTGTTGATGCGTTTTTGTCATTAGATCAATCACGGAGCAGGTGTATAGATTGTGACTAAGATACGAAGTAAAGACAACTAATACAAAAATATGAAATTAGCAATTTTAGATTTCGTGATATTCTTAATCAGGCAGACAGTGCTGCAGTGACAAAACTATTAAGAATAAAAAAGCGAATAAATGTAAAACCTTGTAGGTATTAAGAACACAAGCAAAATGTTGCCTGTCTAGTGGGAACATGAATGTTGAAACAATATTTTACAGTCAAAGCAAAGCTTGCTATTAGGTACACCAACTATGCTGCACAGGAGTTCAACAAAGATATAAAAAATTATGATAGATCACTGACTGACTGACTGACCACCAACGAAACCCAACCAGTAAAGGAGACAGGAGCTTAGCAATGGAACCTGCTTGTCGAAATAACAAGACACTGTTGACTGCAGAATTTATTAACTATTTACATTCCATGTGTAGAGGTAGAGTTCTTCAGCTTAGTTGTTGATGCAGTTGATGAGCCAGGGTGAGTCCACGTAGTAGATGTGCATGGTGGTCAGGCCAGGGCTGTCCGCCAGTTCGAAGAGGCATTCGGGGCCGTCGGGGACTATCAACTGTAAAGAGATTTATTTATTATCTAATTATTCAGCCAGTTCAGCCGCTAAAGGCTCTACTTAGCGTCATTATATCATCATCATGTCAGCCTCACGACTTTCACTGCTGAACATAGGCCGCCCTGAATAATTTCCAGATTGCCCGGTTGTTAGTGGTCTTCATCCAGCGCCTTTCTACTACTGTCCGCACCTTGTGTGTGGGCGTTGTACGTTTGGCTTGCCGGTACGTGACCTCCACTTCAGAACCTTGCTGTCTATTGGCTGTCAGATCCGTTTATACAACAACTATTGAAAACCTTTGAATATTTGATATTGTGTTATGTTTGATTGATAGCATACCTTAACATTGCTCACGTTAGGCCTTTCGAAGTAGTCCTTGACGAGGGCGTTAGCGGGCAGCTGGCCAAACGACGTGAAACCCATGCCGATCAGCTGATCAGTGCCCACGTCCAGCAGTGGGAACCACGGCAGGAGGGTGTCAGACCTGCACTGGGTGGCGGTTGTCATGTTGTAGTAGTAGTGGCGACCTGGAAAGACAGATAACCATACGTCATACATAGCTTTATGTCCTGCAGTAAGTTAACACATCAACATTAAGTCTGAAAGAGTTCCAGAGAAAATACGTCAATGCTTTATGATTATTGCTTGGGCTGAGAAGATCATAACTTCAGAGAAGATTTTGCTATTTAGATTTTCACGCTTGTGGGTCCACTTGGCTTCTTTAACCTATAACCAGGCTAAAAAAAAGTAATTGGTTTCAACAGTATCTTCACAGCATAACGTTCAAATTGATGTGGGCTCTGTATATACCAGAGCCTGGTTAAGGGTTAAAGGTATATGTATAGCTCACCCATGAGAATAATGCAAGCTTGTTTGGTGAAATGGGTGGTGGCGGTGTCGGTGACCTCGTTGGCGTTGCCGGAGATCCTCATCAGGTCTCCGTTGAAGCCGGTGACCCACACAGCATTCTCCTGCAGTACGCGGCCTGCCACGCGGGAGGCGCGGCGCTCCTCCTTGCTCTTCTTCAATGTGGCTGAAAAAGGGAAAACAAAAATAGTTACAGCAGAGTAGAGCAAATAAGAGAAGGAAACCATGTAGTTATTTCGTTTGTGGCAGACAAATGTCGTCTACAGCTGGACAAATACGAGCGAAAGACTTGTAGAACAGTTGGGAGCGTAACAGGGACGAAGCTATAGTTAAATTTACTACAGGGAAGCGGTTTTAATGGTTACAATGGGCCCTTGGAAAAATTATATTAAGAATTTTACTTATTCGATCTCTTTTTTTATCCACAACAAGGTAGCTCTTGGCATGTATCTCATCTGATGATAAGTGATTTATTCAATTATGTAACGTACCTTCAGAAACGAAGTATTGCTGCAAGGTCCAGTAATTCCTAACTTGTCCATTAGAGTTTGCCGGTGCAGTCCAGTACGTGTAGCCTTGGGTAGCCCAGTCCAAGACAGCGCCGGTGTAACTATCAGTGGGCAGCTGGAAGAACAAATGGGCACAATTATTTTATTTTCGTGTATGAATAGCTGGGACATGGGTCCATGAATTTTTACTATTGGAACAAACGTCTATAAAGACTGAAATACACTCGCGAGCAAAACTATGGAATCAATCACTTACACGAAGTTGTTTCCACGCGATCTTGTGTACTAACGAATTTGTTAGTAACAAAAAAAGTTCCACCATTTTAAAGATTAAACTTTTACCTTTAAATTGATACCAAATTCATTTAAATCACACCAGTATTTAAAAAGATATCGCGGCTGATGTGAAGAAGTAAGGAAAAAGACATGTATCAACTGTTTGATACGTCGCGAGTTGCGGCCCATTTACCCCCTATAAAAGCACGTGTTTTCGGATTTTTGCTTTCATACGTTGATCCATACACATCTCAGCTTCTTCTGACACTTTACCTGGGATTCTACACCTTCAGAAGCAGCACAAATCCTTGCACTATTGCAAGAAGGGCTCAGCCAGCGGGCTGTCGCATGTCAGCTCCACATAAGCCAGTCCTGGGTTTCGAAAGTTTTAAGACGCTTTAAAATCATCAAACTTCTAATGCTCGTAACTCAGTTCAGACTGAGTTTAGAGGTACATACATGTCATAGTAAGTTTGGTTTATTACACTATTTTGTAATCAAAAAACAAAGTATGGTCGATGGCCGCGCGAAAAAAAAAAGACGCCAATTTCCGGCATTGTCTTTTTTTTTATAAGTTCTTACTCATGTACTATCGGGGACTCGGACGCCTTGACACCTTAAGGGCCTAAATTGTTTGCACACACACGCTCGATTATGCTACGCCCCCGTTCATTCATGTTTCGGGTCTAAGCAGCGTCGGCGCACCACTGTAGATGTTTGCCCTAGCCAACCAAGCTCTATGTAGGTATAACATTTAGGATTGAGTATTGCTTATTACCCGCATCCGTAGCGCTCGTTTGGCAACGTCGCAGTTAGTCAATTTGAAACCCAATAAAGAATCGCTACAAAATATTATATGGGGCTTCGTGTAAAATTTGAACTAGCGATTGCCCGCTCGTTTCGAGCCTGTGGCAGGCCTTTTTGGAGTCAAATTCTATTGCTTATATCTTAGACGATCTGTCCACACGCTAACAGCTATCCTACGAACATTTCTGAGCTCTTGCTGGACGTCGATACCACTCAAATGATGATTTCATAGAGAGGTTGACATGAAAAAACGGTCATCCTCTGCGATGTGCACCGGCGCTGTTCAGAACTTGGTCTCGGGATAAAGCCACCAGTCTCCCGAAAGCGTCTTAAAACTTTCGAAGCCCAGGACTGGCTTATGTGGAGCTGACATGCGACAGCCCGCTGGCTGAGCCCTTCTTGCAATAGTGCAAGGATTTGTGCTGCTTCTGAAGGTGTAGAATCCCAGGTAAAGTGTCAAAAGAAGCGGAGATGTGTATGGATCAACGTGTGAAAGCAAAAATCCGAAAACACGTGCTTTTATAGGGGGTAAATGGGCCGCAACTCGCGACGTATCAAACAGTTGATACATGTCTTTTTCCTTACTTCTTCACATCAGCCGCGATATCTTTTTAAATACTGGTGTGATTTAAATGAATTTGGTATCAATTTAAAGGTAAAAGTTTAATCTTAAAAATGGTGGCACTTTTTTTGTTACTAACAAATTCGTTAACACAAGATCGCGTGGAAACAACTTCATGTAAGTGATTCCATAGTTTTGCTCGCGAGTGTAGATATTGAGATCAAGATATTGTTGATACATTCTAAAGGAAAAAGATTTTTGAATGATTTTTTCTTTGAATTTGTCGGCTGAGAAGATAACTTACAGCAATCTGGAGACCAGCCACATCACCATTGTCATCATAGAGGGCACAGAGGACCACATCGTTCTGGGAAGGACACATCATAATCAAACTGCTCAGGGGGCCATCGGGTCTTGGGGTTTCCAACCAGCGGGAGTTCTTGGCATCAGCCACAGTCTGGGGGACATGAATGAAGTAGGAAGAACCCCATCCGAAGAGGCCAACCCCAAAACGCACTGAAAACAATAGAACCAAGGTATGATGAACGTATTGTGGTATTACCGTAAGTAACTTATGTTGAATCTTTGAAATACTTTTGATTCTTTATAATTATATTTTTTATTATTTAAATGTTAATTTCCAAAAAATAACTAAGTACAACAATGAAAATATAATATTGCTTACCGCTCAATCCACTTTTCCAGGATCCTGAAATGAAATTAGATTAAAGTGATTAAACGTCTGTATAGCAAAAAATCATGTTTATGGTATGGTATGGTATGGTTTGGTAATTATTGCATCATATTTTAAGTTAAAGCTCTCACTCTGGATGGGTTGTTTGGTGATTTAGATTTTATACTGTGGAGTGCAAGTCTCTACAACGACGAAGGCTTTCTTCCACAAAGGCTGGTTATATCTATACAATTTTTATATAATCTGCCCTAATTATGTGGATGTGACCTACACGGTAGGGTAGGGGGGTAGGGCAAGCTATATTTAGGACGTGTAAAAGTGCCCTGGTAAGGGAATAAAAACCATTGATGTATGAAATTATTTTTTTTTAATTTAAGTTATTTGTATGAAAGATTACGCGGTAATAAGCGGTTTACGATTTACGAGGTATTAAAAAAAACTACTTACTAGATCTCGTTCAAAACAATTTTCGTTGGTAGTTTTTATAGTAACTAATGAACATCATAAGTTTTTTTTTAGATTTTTCATTTTCTTAAATTTAGAAGTAAGAGGTGGGGGGGACCAACTTTTTTCCACTTTTAAGCGTCTGTCACGCAAACTAATCAGTTTAGAAAAAAAGTATTTTACAAAGGACAATGACCAAAAATGTATGGAGTATGGTCCAAATGTCCACCACTAACGAGACCTATGTAGTAAAATAGTCTATTAAATACTGATTCATTATAACCAAACCGCAATCAAAAATATGCTGTCAGTAAAAAGTTATGACTGAATGAAAAGTCTGTTTTTTACCTTTTCATCCGAAAAATGTTCTTGATATCATTCTATCCATTGGCCATTTTGGACTAATCTACGCATGTTATGTCATTCCGCATGTGGCGCGGGGTTATAGATGAATTTTATTAAATATTATACTAGCTGTGCCTACGACTTTGTACGCGTGAAAATAGTTTGAATAATATTTCCCATTTTTACTACATTTGTCTTTACTGCTCCGCCCCTATTGGTTGTAGGGTGATGTTATTTATCCTAAAACCATCCTTGATAAATGGGCTATCCATGACAAAAATAATTTTTCAAATCGGACCAGTAGTTCCTGAGATTAGCGCGTAAACTACTACAATTTTTCAAACAGTCATAACTTTACTTTTTACTGACAGCTTATTTTTTTTCGTCCCATACTGAAAGTTAATCTCTATTTAATGGACTATAAGGCAATAAAGGTCTCATTAGTGGTGGACATTTGGACCACTTTTGGTCATTTTTGAAGACCTATCCATAGATACCCCACACGTATGTGTTTGACAAAAAAAATTTTGAGTTTCAGTTCTAAGTATGGGGAGCCCTCAATATTTATTATTTTTTTATTTTTGCATCAAAATCTTAATGCGGTTCACAGAATACATCTACTTACCAAGTTTCAACAGTATAGCTCTTATAGTTTCAGAAAAAAATGGCTGTGATATACGGACGGACAGACGGACGGACGGACGGACAGACAGACAGACATGACGAATCTATGTGTAGGTACTGTGGCCTAAGCCAAATACAGTCATAAAACCGAATACATAACATGTAAAATTATTAAATTCCGAATTTGCAAAACTTACCAAGTGCGCTGGCTGCGGCAATGCAGGCGGCTAACACAATCAGTTTGTCCATGGTCATGGTTTCTTCAAGAACTAGACTGTCCTAATTAATTACCCTCTTTTATATTAACATTAGGTTAATTATCTGTCGGATTATGCTTTATCTCGAAAATCATACTGCAGACAAACAGATATGATAGGATCGTCATTCATAATAGGTAGGTACATAACATTGCGTTTGAACGTTAAAAATAAGTATTATGCGTGCATGCACTGAGCACGAATGACTCTCGTGATGGTATGGTAATAGTTTCGTAAAAAAGTTAGGGGCTTATTACAAAAAGTTAAACGCCTGTTGAAAACTTGTTTAAATTGACATTTAGTATGGAAAAAACTCTATTTTTAGTTTGGCACTAAGGATAACTGAAAGAGAATGCTACGATGGACTGAAGTTAGTCGATATGGAGTTAACCTTATGTACTTTGTTTTATGTGTATACAGGGTGACAGGGGTAATACTAGAGATCATTCGCAATAAATTATGCCCAACGCAAATTTTGAAAAATAAAGGTAGCAGGAAGGCCCTGGATGCAGGCCGCTACCTACTGATCAATAATGAAAGTCATTGGGGGAGGCCTATGTTCAGCAGTGGACATCCTACGGATGAATGATGATGATGATGAACTTCTTAATAAAATAAACAAAAATATACAACCGTTGCAGCGCTGTTTTGTTTTTATACAAAAAACCGTTAAATAAACGATTACCATAAACCATAACACGGTATTTATTCGTGCTCAGGGCAAATTACATAATAAGGAACTTTGTGGTACTATATTATCTAGGTAGATAAAGGAATTAATTAAGTATCTATAGCGATATACACTGACGAAAAATAAGTAGGTATACCTACCAGAGGTGGAATGAGGATCAGTACTGTTGTAGAAAATTCAATAAAACTAGTATCTACGTTAATCTTTAAGACATAAGAGAGATATATCTTTTTGAATTATCCAAATCGGACCATTACTTACGAAGATATTAACACAAATAATATCGTGGGCTTCTTGAGCCTAGTTGTTGATGCAGTTGATGAGCCAGGGTGAATCCACGTAGTAGATGTGCATGGTGACCAGGCCGGGGCTCGCCGCCAGCTCGTAGATACAGTCGGGACCGTTTGGCACGATCATCTGTCAAAGTCAAAGTCAATCGTAAAATTTCCCAAAAACAAAAGACTGCATGAGTGTTTTACGGTGTTTAGATGTTCCGTAGTCAATCCACATAATTAACTATTTAAAAATTACAAACCACTGATTTTGACCAAGAAAACTGTATGCTAGGTGCGATTTGGCAACTAAACGCCCGTATTCACAAACATTACTATGAGTTAGAGACCTCACCTTCACATTTGTGTATCACCTAGTGCGCGTGAACGCACAGGGTGACACATGAACTAATCACAGAGCTCTTCAACGCTATGCATTCGAATTGCTGTTTCACTTAAGCAAGCATCGTTTGTGAATACGGGCGTAAGCTTTTATTGAATTTCACGAGTCTGAATCGATCAGTGGGCTGGTGCCGCATTCACTACAAGAATTTTTGCAAGTACCTACATTCCTGCAAGACCTACATAACGTCGAACAACGACGGGACGGGACGGACGGATCGAAAATCGGTTGATAAAAAAAGAACACGTCTGTAAACTGCGTTAGAATAATCACATCCGCCGATGTGTTTATGAATTTTTAAAAATAATAGTAAAGTCATTTAAAGGAGCTACTTTAGAGTAGTTTAATGCCCAAAAACAGATTAGACGGATGAAGACATGCGACGTTGTTCGACAACAACGACGAGTGTGTTGTTATGTCTTAGGCTGGTTTCCTTCAATTACATACATTTTGATTTGTCAGCGCCGACGATCAGCGAGCGGTCAGCGCGATTCGAAAACCAGCCTTACCTTGACGTCACTCTCAGTGGGTCTTTCGAAGTAGTCCTTGACGAGGGCCGAAGCGGGCAGCTTGCCGAACGACATGAAGCCCGTGCCGATCAGCTGTTCAGTGCGCACGTCCAGAAGTGGGAACCACGGCAGCAGCGTGGAGGACGAGCACTCCGTGGTGGTCGACATGTTGTAGTAGTAGTGGCGACCTGGAACGACACATAACAGGATGTTCCAGAGAAGGAAAAACGGCGCCGATAATACTTAATTAAGCCATGAGTACTAATAAGAACCTCATAGTATTAGAAGTCACTTCTATCTACTTTTATTTATTATCTATGTAGATGTAGTCAGTTCATTATCTATTTAAGCTGATACACCTGACTTCATTTATGGATAAACAAATAAATTGGAATTTATGATGAAAATACCCTTAGTAGGTATCTTAACTATTAGATAATATAATTATTAGATTAGTAACATTACATAATTAGTTAATTAGAATGTACTTATTTGAAAATATAAAACTTGAGATCATCATTTCGAGTTCTTAGCGAGTCTTTCAGTATTGACTTATCTCTTTAGACATAGGGAATCGCACCAATCCAATGTTGCTGCTCTAAAATTATATTGGGGGCTTTAATTAGTGAGTAGCCATACATTTTCCCTTTGTTCAAATAAATTTTATGATGACCGGTGGAGCAGAGAAGTTCTCGAGTGGCGCCACCACGGGCCGGAAGATGTACTAGTAAGTTCTCCCACTAGGTGGACCGACGATCTGGTGAAGGTCGCGGGAAGTGTGCCCAGAGTGTGGGCAGTGCAGGATCGGACGTCAGCAGTGGACGTTATTTGGCTGAAACGAACGAATGAACGAAACTTGATGACAATGCAAACTATCTATCTACCTATATCAGCCTTTAGGGGGTTCGTCTTTGAACATAGACCTCCTCTTAACCCTCCACCGACCTACAGAGGGACAGCCCTAGCCACATGCATCTAGTTTACTCCAGACTCCGGATGTCGTCTGTCCACCGTTTAGGCAGTCTTTCCCTGCCGCGGGTGCTGTTGCGGAGTCTCCACTCCAGGGTCTTTCTGGCCCATCTTGGTTCATCCGTGCAATGTGTCCTGCGCATCTCCATTTAAGGCTCTCAATCCCATCCACCACGTCGCTGATCCCCGTCTTTTCTCTGATCCACTCGATGACAATGCAATAAATTACATAATGGTGGACCTGCCGCTGCTAAACTCAACGGCTTACAGCAACGTAGTGGTTGTGTCTGGGCTCGTTACTTTTGTCTTGATGAGAGCTTTTACATTATGGACTAAGAGCTTTCTTATCTAAATGGCAATGCCAGATTTTGTATGGAAAGTGGCGTCTTTTTTTTTTCGCGCGGCCATCGACCAAGCTTTGTTTTTTGATTACAAAATAGTGTAATAAACCAAACATACTACGGCATGTATACCTCTAAACTCAGTCTGAACTGAGTTACGAGCATTAGAAGTTTGATGATTTTCATACAAGATTTGCTTTTTGTGCGCAAGTATTGTAAGAAATTGCAACAAAATATTGCGCTATTTTTTTATTGCGCTGATTCTGCTCCATACTGATGTCTGGAGCCTTTAATGGATGGTATTGTTTGTTTACACATACAATCTCACTATTTTGTTGCAATTTCTTACAAAACTTTGCGCGCAAAAAGCAAATCTAATATGAAAATCATCAAACTTCTAATGCTCGTAACTCAGTTCAGACTGAGTTTAGAGGTATACATGCCGTAGTATGTTTGGTTTATTACACTATTTTGTAATCAAAAAACAAAGCAGTCCAATTAATAGCACGGGTCAACACAAAACAAAATCAATCGGTTATTGATCACAAAACTTCGCAAAAAAACAAAGGCGAGAATATGTCGACAGTTCGCCAAAGGAAAAAGCAGACAGGACCTCGTATAAAAACACAATATTGAAAAAATACATATCTATTTGTTTGTAACCAAATTCTATTATTAAAATTCTAAGGCTGAGTTGCACCATCTTACTTTAACTTTGACAAACGTCAAAAATCTGTCAAACTCCATACAAAAAGCACCGGTTACTGTTATAGTTACGGTCAAAGTTAGGTGGTGCAACTCAGCCTAAAACTAAGAAAGATTGAAGAAAAAGAAACATTTCGTTTTAAACCTTAACCGTATGACAATAAAGTGCACAATGGTATTTCGTATTGCAACCTAAGCCCTGATTGTCTCTTATTGGTCGTAGTAAAAATATAGTAAAATGCGTAACCAATTAGAGACGGGGTGAGCACGTGACCGGAGCGATGCGCTTACGCTAAAATTTCTACAAAGTGGTCAGGCGGAAGAGTCCCCGATAGTACCTATTTATTCCTGACAGCAATAATTTATAGTAACGCCTTTTGTTATCTATCTATACTCGTAGTATTGTAGTAGTGGCAGTGGCACTAGGTGTAGCCTTGGACGATTCCAAGTTTACGCACGTTTTTCAGCTATTTTAGTTAAATAAATAAGATATTATGTACTTTGCATTATTATAGAAAGGATAATTAATTATCTATTACAGTTTTTGATTAGGTACCTACGTTGTTAAGGTATCATCATTTTAGATAAGGTGAACACTTATTTTTATCAGAGCGATTATGTGTTTCCACCCGGGCTAAGATGCGCGCCGTGATAAAATGTTATCGATGATTTTAGACGACAAATATATGGGCTTATCGCATAAAGTCGATAAAGTTTAAATGACGTAATCAATGCTTATCACGACGCGCATCCTAGGCCTACGAAAGCAAGTATTATAAAATTCAGTCCAAGGAAAAATCTTTTCATTAGGATAGGCCACATCAAAAGGTTATGTAGGTACCGGAGTAAATTACTTTCTAGCGCTTCTATGCAATATGATGATTGGACTAAAATTTACTGTTATGATGATAGTGAGCTATCATTACGGCGTCAGAAGGAGGGTTATGTTTTTTCACTATACCATTCCCATCTATTTAAACAAATGTATGATAGTTGTCTTAAGTAGTTTACCCACAAGGTATTTAGTGGTCATCATGATATTATCTACGAGTACTAAATCGTAGAGTTCGACGCTGTGTAGAATTAAGTGTGTTTTTTTACCCCACTGCGCAACGCATAGGAGTGGTAATGTGTTTATGACAATCTTTGTTTACAGCTTTTCAGGACTCGTACTACGGGAGAGTTTTCAGCAGGCGTTAGGAGGATCTACTTAGATGCGCTAGCTTTAGCAGAAGTTCGCTGCTTGAATATTGCTAAAATCTTTGGATGAAGATCGAATATGGAAATCGCGTAAGTGGTACCTACTGACGTTATAATAACAAAACACTATCAGAATCTGTTGTAGAGTTTATTAAATATTTACATTCGATGGTAAGGACTAAGACGTGGGATTCTTGAGCTTAGTTGTTGATGCAGTTGATGAGCCAGGGTGAATCCACGTAGTAGATGTGCATGGTGACCAGGCCGGGGCTCGCCGCCAGCTCGTAGATACAGTCGGGGCCGTTGGGCACGATCATCTGTAAAGGCATTAATTAACAATTCATTCATTAACAATCCATGGTAAAGGTCAAAGTCACAAATGGTAAATTCTAAGTAAAAGACTAATAAAAACTTAAAGCGTTGCCCTTTATAGTAAGTAGCCTTTAAATTCTAAATAAGATGAATGAGATAAGATGACAAAAATTTAAAGAGGTGAGAGATAATGTAAAATATTTCGTTGAAGTGACGACTGGCGCTCAAGACGCTCTGGCAGAAATTGGATGCGAAAAGAAGAACACAGCGTGTAATGCGTAAGGGTTCAGTCAAACCAACGCGATCACACGCGATCAGCTGGCGTGCAGCGATGACGATCAGACTTAAATGCATTGATCGCCATTGCTGCACGCCGACTGATCGCGTGTGATCGCGTTGGTTTGGCTGAACCTTAATTTGAGAGGCCTTTGTCTAGTAGTGGACTGCTTTATGCTGATGATGAAGATGATGAGCCCGTCTGCTTTCCGGTGCCACCTCCATCAAAGGAATCTGTGGATATGTATTTAAATATGTGTCTTTGATAGCGCACCTTGACGTCACTCTCAGTGGGTCTTTCGAAGTAGTCCTTGACGAGGGCTGAAGCGGGCAGCTGACCGAACGACATGAAGCCCGTGCCGATCAGCTGCTCAGTGCGCACGTCCAGAAGTGGGAACCACGGCAGCAGCGTGGAGGACGAGCACTCGGTGGTGGGCGACATGTTGTAGTAGTAGTGGCGACCTGGAACGATACATAAGAATATTATGTTTTGGTGCAGGACTAACGGTAAGTACAGTCAGCGTCAAATAATCCGTGACACCCAAAGTGGTCTAAAAGTTGACAACACAACCTTATTCCAATTGTAACCAAGACGTGTTGCGAACTTTTTGGCTTCTTTGATTGTCACGAATTATTGTGCGACTGTACAATAATTAGTAGATCATAGGAGGTAGGCATTGGATGGAATGTTAGAAAAAGTCACAAGCTTTAAGACCCTGCAATTTCTCGAGGCTGATTCTCTGATTCTATAGCAAATCTAGAGGATCTGGCTGTAGCATGTGTGATGTGTCATTTATGGTCATAGGCTCAAATAAAACCTAGTACAAACAAAATATGCTTTTGTTTCTGCCCATGTTGCGTTGCTTATACTGTCTAAATGTAAAACTGGATATTGAAAGAAAATGTTCACTTGTTGTTTGAGCAGCTTGACTTGAAATAGCAGTGACTTATCATCTCACCCATGAGAATGACGCAAGCCTGTTCAGTGAACAGGGAGGTGGCGGTGTCGGTGACCTCGGTGGCGTTGCCGGAGATCTTCACCAGGTCCCCGTTGAAGCCGGTGACCCACACGGCGTCCTCTTGCAACACCCCACGGCTGAGGGAGCGGGAGGCGCGGCGCTCCTCTTTGCTCTTCCTCAGGGTAGCTTTAAAAATGGAAAATATGTTGTAAGAAAGGTACGAAGAAGGAAAAATGTATTATTAACCCATCACTGCAATTATGTGTTATAGCAAGTTAGATTTAAGAATAAGACATCCATCATAATCATCATCATCATTAAAGCCAGAGGACATGAACAGCTGCACGTAGGTTTAGGTCTCACGCTACGCTAAACTACTACTAAATAAATCAATTAAATTAAAATTAGTACGCTACGCACTAATTTTAATAATCGTAAATAGCGGGCAATGTCATCTGATAAGTCTGTTATCAGATTCGGGTGAGTAAGTAACATTTAAAATTACTTATGTAACATTTGGCCATAGGGGGTAAAAAATCAACACCATTCACAAATACCAAAGGTGATGGAAGATGCAGATTGTAGAGAAAATAGACCCTTACCTTCAGAGACAAAGTATTGCTGCAAGGTCCAGTAAGTCCTGACATCACCACTGGAGTTTTCGGGCGCAGTCCAGCTCGTGTAGCCTTGGGTTTCCCAGTCCAGAGCAGCGTCGGTGTAGCTGTCAGTGGGCAGCTAGAATGAAAAATTATAACAATTTTTTAACCATACTAAGTCTGCAAAATCATTTATTTTGTTGCAGTTTCATGTGACTTTCATGAAGTTGAGTTTTCATGTGACTTTTTCAGTCTTAATAAAAATAAAATTGTCATTGATTCTTTTAGCCCATACGCGCCACTTATCCAATGATACCCCGTAAGAATTCCCAAGTTGAGTGTCCGGACCCCGCCATAAGATTAGTCTCATCATGTTTAAGAACATCTTACAGTTCCCTCTATCGGGTACAATAGATAAATGCTCCAGGAGACCTCTTATGAAATCTTTATCAACAAAATAGTTTACCAAGAAGCATAGGTTTAATTGGCAATAACTTACAGCAACTTGCAGACCAGCAACATCATCGTTGTCATCATAGAGGGCGCAGAGGACCACATCGTCCTGTGAGGGGCACAGCATCACCAGGCTGCTGAGAGGGCCATCGGGCCTGGCGGTCTCCACCCAACGGGAGTTCTTGGCGTCGGACACAGTTTGCGGGACGGAGATGAAGAAGGATGAACCCCAACCGGTAAGACCAACCCCGAAACGGACTGAAAACGATAGAAGGTAAGGAGATGTTAAAAAGGCAATATACAAGGTTTTGTAAGTTATTTGATTCCAGTAGTGAGATATTTACGTTATTTATTTTAAAAGATTTTATTTCCATAAGTAGAAATTTCCGTAATTTGAATCACCTGATAAAAAATAATGCTATGCTTACCGCTAAGTCCACTGTTCCAGGGAGCTGAAATATAATCAGAAAACGTATTTAAAAATCTATGTTTTTTTTTTATTATCCTAGTACCTATAACTTCATCATCAGAGACCAAGAGAAGCACCTGGCTTGCTGACTTTTAACAGGTGGATAAATAGTTATTTAGAAAGAGATTTATTTAGACAGTTAAAGAGGACGTGAGGTATTACAAGACTGCAAAGCGCGCCACTGGTCATATTTTCTTGAAGGCGTCAGTCCATCAAGAATATCACACAAGTCGCAAGCATTTTTGCAGACCGGGTGTGATGTACTTGCCAAAAACACATATGACAGCTATGCTGTAAGGTTTCTAGAAAAGTCTAGGGTTTCAGCAGACTTGAAGGTCTACGCAAGGCTGTCAATTCTCTTTGAGCTAAGGTAAGTATATTTTGCTTACTTACTACGTGGTCTACAGTTACTGCAGTTTTTGCGGAACTGAAATCCTAACTTACAAAACTATCTTATCCTGGGTCCGCTACTTACTTGCAGCGCTGGCTGCAGCGATGCAGGCAACTAAAATAACTAGTTTCTGCATGGCTCCGGCTTTTTAAGAACTACACGGCCTAATTAGGAAGTTCTCTTTTATATTATGATTAACTAACATTATCTGTGTCTGATTAGGCTTAATCATGTTAAAACNGCTGTCAGTGGGCAGCTGAAATGAAAATTATAACAATTTCACGCTATATTTAGTAGGGATTTTCTCATAATAAGTCTGCTGAATCAGTTATTTGGCTGAAATTTTCATGTGACTTTTTCAGTGTTTATAAAAATAAAATTGTCACTATTCCTTTATTTCTTTTAGATGTATAATACGCGCCACTTAGTACCTATCCAATGATACCCTGTAAGAATTCCCAAGTTGAATGTCCGGACCCCGCGATAAGATTAGTCTCATCATGACGTCTAAAACATCTTAGATTTCCCTCTATTTGGTAGGTACAATAGGATACTCCAGGAGACTCGTTCCCTTTATGAAATCTTTATCAGCAAAATAGTTAAGCAAGAAGCATAGTAAGGTTTAATTGGCAATTACTTACAGCAACCTGCAGACCAGCAATATCATCGTTGTCATCATAGAGGGCGCAGAGGACGACATCGTCCTGGGAGGGGCACAGCATCACCAGGCTGCTGAGAGGGCCATCGGGCCTGGCGGTCTCCACCCAACGGGAGTTCTTGGCGTCAGATACAGTTTGCGGGACGGAGATGAAAAAGGATGAACCCCAACCGGTAAGGCCATAGCCGAAACGGACTGAAAACGGAAGAAGATGTTGAAAAGGCAACATAAAATGTAGGTTTTGTAAGTTATTTGAAAGTGAGATATTTACGTTATTTTTAAGTTCTTGTTTTTATTTATTTGAAAAGCTTTTAATTTCATAAATAGGAAATAGGTACTACCTACTTGTAATTTGAATCACTTGAAAAAAAAATAATGCTATGCTTACCACTCAGTCCACTGTTCCAGGCAGCTGTAAACAAATTAGAATATTGAGGTATCACAAGCCAGCAAAGCTTCATAGTCATTCTTCTTGAAGTCATCAGGGCATCGATAATATCAAGACAGATTTACAACGACTAACAACAGAGATACAGCACTGTCACTTGCGGAACCAACCCACTTTGGCCAACTTTTAAAAAACTATAAAGAACTAAACAGCATGGTACCTAAACACTTAATTAAACTAATTATGCAAACCAGAACCAATGTTGGTTGGTTCCATTTAGCAAAAATAGTTACAATTTTTTTATAAATAAACAGAACCAAAGAGTTTTGTTCTTGTTTGAATAATCAAATTAGGTTAGTCTTGAAGGAACCGTATAGCATAGTTCTTATTCTCGCAAATTTCCGCAGCATTTACACGAAAATAAAAGATCCATGTACNATGGGTCCATATTAAGATTAACACTATCTGTGTCTGATTAGGCTTAATCATGTTAAAATACATCGCAGATGTAGAGATTGGAATTTGGGTACAATCAAAACTTTTTAAAATATACATAATGCTGATAACAAAATTACTCAGAGAATATTCAGGTGGATTCAGGTAATCTTTACATTGTGATATAAGGAATCGATTTAATAATACATGACAGCTTCTTCTTGTATAGATAAGTCAAGCAGATTATTATAAAGATCTTAATTTAATCGAACACGCTTGTAGTGACTTCAATCATCAATTCCATTTAGCAGCGAAGGCTACTTCTTTACGTTAGTCGAGATGTGTTCAGTCTCTACTTGTAGCCTCTTCTCTTTTATTCCACCTAAGTATACATTCTATTCTTGAGTGGCGACCACGGGCTGGAAGACGTAGTGTGGGCAGGCCTCCTACTAGGTGGACCGACGATCTGGTAAAGGTCGCGGGAAGAGCCTGGATGCGGGCAGCGCAGGACCGTTCATTGTTGAAAATCTTGGGGGAGGCCTTTGTCCAGCAGTGGACGTCATTTGGCTGAAACGATACATTCCATTCTATGACAGACATGGCCAGCTTCTTGCTATTGTACAGTTAGCGTCAAATAGTTCGTGACACCCAAAGTAGCCAAAAAATTCGCAACATATTATCTTTGTCACAATTGGAAATTGGAAAAGGATGTGTTTTCAACTTTTTGGCCACTTTGGGTGTCACGAACTTTTTGACGCTGACTGTACGAGTATGTAAGACTGAAATAACAATTTTTTTTTCTCCTAATTCGTATTATTAATCAGGAAACATTTTCAGATAAGATGCATTAGATAAAGTTGTTTTAATTCTTGGTTTGTCATCGTCAAGAATGGGCAGCACGTGGTTCTTATCATCTTGATTTTTTTTTGCATATCTGCCCTGTAAGTGCCTATTCACTCTCGCTTTGAAAACGCCCGGATTATAGTCTTCGGGAAAGACAGCAGCAGGCAACTAATTCTAGTCCCTAGCTCTTCGCATAATAAAAGAGTCACACGCTTAGTGCGAGCTGGTGGAATGTCAACAATATAGGGATGGTACGCTAACCTGCGTCTGGTCCTTCGATGATGAAAGGGGGCTGGTGGAATTAGTTCGTGTAATTCGTTGGCACATTCTCCGAAGAAAACCGATAGAGGATCATTCTCCGGATCTGGATTCCTTAATTGATTACTCCGACCTTTTTTATTTTTAAATTTAGAGTAAGTTTTGGTAAAACATTTCAAAATAGACATTGTTACGAACATATTTTTTATATTGGCCCATCTGTAGCAAGCAGGAATAAAAAGTTGTGACATTAAAATTTTCATGGTCGGTAGTTTATTTTCTAAGGTTTTTTTAAGTTATGGTAAAATAAATGTTATTATAACTAACTAGCCATTTGTTATTTTAACGTATAAACGACAATATTGTTACATTATAACTCAATGAATATTGTAAAGTTTCAACAAAATCTGTTAAGCAGTTGTTGTGTAAAAGAGTAAAAAGCTTTTGCTTAAACTTATAATATTAGTGACTCAATGCCCTATGTCTCCTATTGGGACAGAAGGCGTCCACAACAGTCTTCCTTCGATAGCATTCGGTCTTGAGTTTCGCGTTTTGTCTCGCTCCAAGTCTTGCCGATCTTCTTCGCCTCGTCTACTACAGTGCGCCGCTATGTTTTTTTGGCGCGACCACGTTTGCATTTTCCCTGGTGGTTCCAATCAAGAGCCTGCTTGGGGATGTGATCGGGGTCCCTTCTTAGAGTGGCCGATCCAGTTGCACTTGCAGCGTTTATTCTGCTGAACGATCGGTATTTCGTGGCAGCGTTCCAAAAGTTCGTCAATAATTATATTGACTTGGCCATCGCATGAAAACATGTGTAAATTAAATTATTTAGTGCGATGGCCAAGTCAATAATATAATTTATGTAAAACGTCAAAGATTTCCTGGCCTGGACTTGGTATTACATGGATCTCACAACTTTTTACCGTAGAACAACTGAGTTGCGAGACTTTGTTTTTTTGACAAGTATTGTTTTTCATGGGATCTCATTTCTTTTTGTATTTTGTAGACAGCAGTTGTGTATGTTGTGTATCTAGAAAACTGGACCGAAATCAAAATAAAAATACTCGACTTGGCGGTTGCACTACCGTGCCCCCAAATGTTTTAGTTTTTCCTTGATTCATACACCAAACACTACTTATATTCCAATTTGAAGTTTCTAGGTCTGCTAGAAGTACCATAAAATTTTGATGATCGGTGAGTCAGTCAGTGAGTGACAAAATTAAGAAACTTTGACCCGTTATAATTCTTAAACTACAGGTTCAAATTGAATGATATTTGAAATATACCGTATCTTTACAATGCCTGCATAGCTAATGAAAATTCAGCCTTCTAGTTTTATCCACAACGAAGTTACAGGCGGTCGAAAATGGTCTGAATTGCTTCGAGAAAAGGATGGTACGGCCGTGCCGCTTTTTTGCTCGACTTGGTGACACGAACTTGATTTAATTTGAAGTCGTAAAAAATATAAAGACAGTAGGAAGGTATGCTGAATTAAGTTTTAATCGAGAATTACTAAAGTTCATATTTCGAACAACATTTATCATATCAAATCCTATTTAGATAATTCTAGTACCTACTTCACACACTTAATTTTCGACAAAACAGAAAGAGTAGTTTTTCAATGTAATTATTATTTTCCTGTTTATAGCAGTGTTTTATTTGTTGTTTTTATATCTATATATATGTATAAAAGAAAGTCGTGTTAGTTACTCCACTTATAACTCAAGAACGGCTGAACCGATTTAGCTGAAAATTGTCAGGGAGGTAGTTTAGAGCCAGGAGAAGGACATAGGATACTTTTTATCCCGTTCGAAATAAAAAAAAAAGTCTGCTTATTTATTGCCATTAAGGCGGAACAAAGTTCGCCGGGTCAGCTAGTCTATATACAGTGTGTCCGGGCATGTAGTGATCAAACTTTAAGGGCGTAATCTATGGACAATTTTATCGGTAAAAATACTTTAAATTTGGGGCTTGACCCATTTCTCGCATATTTACAAGGATTTAAGTTTTTAATTTTAAGTTTTCACCTCTTCCTTCAAAAACAAGTGATAGCGTGGGTAACTTAACATTAATAAGCAAATATTTTATATCATGCGATAGCCAATAAAATTATCTATTAGTAGAAGTAGAAAACAGATACAAGTATCATACATTTTAAGGGTGTAAGAATGGATTTAATTAGAAATAAACACGATTTTTTTCACATCTTTTTCAGTTATTTCCCAACACAAGAAAAACCAGGTCGTTAAGGTATGTTTTATTTNGGTTTCGCTATTGCCTCTTTAATATTATTAGTAATACAGTTGCGAATACATAATCTCAAGGACTTTCTTATCTAAGGTCCTATTTTGATACTTAAATGTTTTGAAAACTTAAAATAATTTATGAAAAATTTCAATATCGGAATACGATATTGGCTTCAGTTCCGGAATTGAAATATCGGAAAAAATCTATCCGAAATTCCGGAGTTACGAAATTCCGGAATTCCGGTATTCAAGCCCTAGTTAAAACACATCGCAGATGTAGAGATTGGAATTTGGGTACAATCAATACTTTAAA